CAGTTTACTACAGAACATACTAAGTTTTCTCAGTTTGTTTTCGTTAGCCATTTCCTTGTAACAGATCCTAACAATGTCCTACGCTTAAAGTCTTTACCGGCGGCGAATATCTTATAACTGACTCCCAAGCTGGTGGCCATCTCACACCAACCTCCTACTCTTCTGATTGACTGAAATCAACTAATTGCAACTCCCAAATAGTCTCGCTTATAACATCTCGGCGCGGACCGCACAGAAAACGCCGTTCAACTGTTGCCGTGGGAACTTGTCTTTTTGCGAAGCCGTTACTCAGGATATTCTCCTGTATATTTGCTTATATTGTGGTCGTTGCCCAGCAACGGATATACATGCTGCAGTACTTTGCATACTTTGTATACATTACATACAACAAACAGACGGAATTAAAAAAAAGAAAAGGAACCAGCCAGAGGTGCTCTGAACGTGAAAGTCCATCAAGATCACTAGATCGTTATTTCACGATCACAGCGCTTGATCTACTATGTATAAGAGATGGTTGAACAGACCAGAGGACACTACTGGTTCGAATAACGGGAACTTTGCTTCGAAATGCTTTGTCCCCAAGAGAATAATTATATCTTATTTAATTTTTGTGCACTTTCGAGGTCCGTATGTGGGCCGCGGGCAGAACAATGAGTATCACAACTATAGATTTTCTACATGTTCTATGAATAACACGTACTATTGCCATGAAGTCATTAGTACACACCGTCAGTTACAAATAAAAGGTAAAAAGGTCAAGTTGTTCCTGTGCTTAACTAATTAAGCACCACGCCAAGAAGGCTTATGGGGGAGTGGATGTATAAATCAACGTTTTCTTGACCTCGGCACTAGTTGGAGGTGAGTGGTCAGCTTTGGCCGCTTTACCTCCGAGGAACAGCCCCCCGGAACAATTGGATAGGATGCTCGGTGTACCACAGATCCGGTTTGGACGACGTGGAGAAGAGGAAATTCTTACCCCCCAAGGGACTTGAACTTCGACCCCTCGGTCATCCATCCCGTAGCCAGTCGCTACACCGACCACATTAAAACGTGTACGTTTTAATTAGTTTAAGCCTTGCTTATTTAAAGCTTGCCACTTAGAACTAATCTTATTAGACGCATTAAAAGTTAAGTTCCTTTCCACCGGTACTTTCTAGTTTAATTCGATACTCCGCTCCACAAGCGGAGGCAGTAAACATTAATGTCTGCTAACTTAGGTAACGTCAGATCGATATGTAAGGTCGATATATCAGTCGGGTGTTGGATTTGAGGTGCTCAGATCAGAAACTACGAGGAGTACTCTCTTCTGTAATTTGGTCCCGTGTGTTCTGGCAGAAATTCGGCTACATTTCGGAGGGCACAATTACAAATACCCTGAGTGAACTTATTCCCTCTTATAAAATGTGGGGACAGAGCCTTAAGTAGGCAACCCTCACTACCTTCAATTTGTAGGTCTGAGCGGTCTGAGGTTCTCCCAGCAAGGTCATGAACGCAGTATTCATACTAGTTTCTTATTGGGCTTAAATTTCGACCCTGAAGATGGAAGCAGTATGTTCCTTCGAAATGTTGGTAGCATAATGAAGTACACTGCGTCATATCCTAGGATACAGTAAAGGTAAAGTTGTCCCTGTGCGTGACCAATGGGGAAGTCGGTGTATAGATCCACAGTCTGTATAGCAACTGGCTGCGGGCTGGGCGACAAAGAGGTCGGGGTTCGAGTTCCGGTACGGTCAAGAATTTTCTCTTCTCCACGTCGTTACGTCGTCCAGACCGGCTCTGGGGTCAAACCAACCTCCTCTCCAATGGATACAGAATGTTATTTCCCCGGGGGTAAAGCGGCCGGGACGTCAAGCTGACCACTCACCTCCAACTAGTGCCGAGGCCAAGAAAATGTGGATCTGTACATCCTAGGACATAGTAATCTTCATAACCAGAGTTAATTTAAGAGTCCTTCAACAAAACTCNAACACCACATATACACGGTGTAAAATCCCATAAGACTACTTTCTTCATAGTCACCGCCGTGAAAGCCTCAAATCTTACAAAACTCCTATAAAATACGACATACAATAAGACGTCACTAATTAGGACTAATTAGGAGCGAGTCCTTGCTCAAATTAGTGAAGCTACGAATTATAGAAGTGATACTGCAGATATGTTCAGGGAAGTTAAAATGGAATCGGGTTGTCTTTTTAGGCAACACAACTTTATTAGAATCCTAGGGTGCATATCATAACATAGATTTACTTGTTATAAAAAGGGTAAAGTTGTCCCTGTGCTTAACTAATTAAGCCCTAAGCCATGAAGGCGTATGGGAGAGTGGATATAGGGATCCACATTTTCTTGACCTCGCCACTAGTTGGAGGTGAGTGGTCAGCTTCACGCCCCTGCCGCTTTACTCTCAGCGAAAGAGCTCCCGGTACCCATTTCATAGGAGACTGGGTGGGACCCAGGGCCGGTCTGGACATGGAGAAGTCAAAATTCTTGACCCTACCGGGACTCGAACTCTGACCCTTCTGTCGTGCACTCAGTAGCCAGTTACTACGTTATCCCAGCGGCCTCCGTAGTCTAGAGGTAACGTTCCCACCTCATGACTCGTAGTACGCGGGTTCAAATACCCGGCGGTGGTCGTCGAATTTTTAAGGGCGGAAAAATTCAGGGAACAAGTCCTCCGGGAGGGACTTTAAGCCGTGGGTCCCGTGTCGTAGCTTTACGGCACGTAAAAGAACCTCATACCTCCAAAGGAGGTCACTGAGCCAAAATTGCGGACGTTTCCCGCCCAACAGCAGTCACTAATACCTCCGGTAGATGGGGGAAGCATTATAGATACTTCTCAGCCAGTAGAGCCGGTCTCGCTGGCTGGGCGGGACTGATGGAAAGCACCAATACCGGTAGGATATAGAGACTGGTAGAAATCATAGAGGGAAGCACAATGGACCACTACAGGTCCAAGTGCATGGGGAAACCCACCCTCTCTAATAACTAACTAACTAACTAACTAACTACTACGTTATCCCGGTCATAAAATGTAAAAATGTAAGTTTTGACGTCAGTCTTAGAAAACAGTTCAGGTAGCCCACGTACTCAGTACTATTGGTATTGAAGTTTGATACGAGGCCTACATGTACCTGCAGCCTCTATGCTAGCGCTTCAAGCGGCAATTTGCGAAGGCTGATCGTGGCAGTGTGTTCATCAAGGTCGTAATGCGCACAAACATTATCCAAATTACGGCGAATTCCGAAATAGCGAGGTTTTGCTGTATATAAATATGTTACTCTGTGTGGTCCGACACAAGATTATCGACGTTTCGGAAAATACTTATTGTCTCTATTTTCAGGGTCGCGAGTAAATCAAGCAAGCGGTAAGGGTGTAATTTGGAAAATTAAGTGGGTTTATTATTCTTAAATTCATACATACGTGAAAGCTTTTTTCTGTAATTGTACAGCAAGTTTTATGAATATAAAAGTAACTAATCGACTATTTAATATCTAAATCAATACAAAAAAATAAAGGCTTTAACCTATAAGAAGAAAAATTATATTTTGAGTTTTATATCATGCACGCCTACAGAGCACTGCTTACAGAAACCGTGTAATATTGAAAACACTTCAAGAATAAAATAAATGTCAAACATAAAACATGATAGTTGCACTGATTATGGCAACTGTAATTAGTATTACAAATGGTGCAGCTGAAAGTAAATTTGAAAGTATCTGGTCAGCCGATATGGTTAGAACCATTACCGAAGGAGTAATGAAAAAATATTTCGCAAATTGCGTGTATCTTCTACATTCGCCGCACGACCAAGGTAAGGATTTACCTGTGATTTTACTTGCTGAGATCAATCTGCTGCACATAGTAGCTTGTGTTGGAAACCTTACGGAGAGAAGTCCTGTATAAGCACACATGTACTGTGTTTCTGCTTTATATTGTAACACATAATGTGTCGGAGACTGGATTCTGTCTCCGTCCTTAGGTGAAACCTATTCAGTTGGGCCACATCGATAGAGCTAGTCCCATTCTTTTTATTTAAAACACAACGTTTCGGAGACTGGATTCTGTCTCCGTCTTTAGGTAAAACCTATTCAGTTGGGCCACATCGATAGAGGTAGTCCCCTTCTTTTTATTTACAACACAACGTTTCGGAAACTGGATTCTGTCTCCTTCCTTAGGTAAAACCTATTCAGATGGGCCACATCGATAGAGGTAGTCCCCTTCTTTTTATTTAAAACACAACGTTTCGGAGACTGGATTCTGTCTCCGTCTTTAGGTAAAACCTATTCAGTTGGGCCACATCGATAGAGCTAGTCCCCTTCTTTTTATTTACAACACAACGTTTCGGAGACTGGATTCTGTCTCCGTCTTTAGGTAAAACCTATTCAGTTGGGCCACATCGATAGAGCTAGTCCCCTTCTTTTTATATACAAGTACAACACAACGTTTCGGAGACTGGATTCTGTCTCCTTCCTTAGGTAAAACCTATTCAGTTGGGCCACATCGATAGAGGTAGTCCCCTTCTTTCTTTTAAACAATGTTTTGGAGACTGGATTCTGTCTCCGTCTTTAGGTTAAACCTATTCAGTTCGGCCACATCGATAGAGCTCGTCCCTATCTCCGGAGTAAATCCGGAAATTTAGACGGAGACAGAATCCAAGATGGACGATGGATAATGTTCATAAATACAATAATTGTATTAATATACCATTGTCACAAACTTATAGACCTGTATAACCATGTTTGAGGTACTGATGACGTAAATACGAAGACTATTGCTATTGACATCTTATGGTCTCGTGGAAGCTTAGTATCGGAATGTAAGATGAGCAAAACGAGGAAGCAACGTATTTTTCTACCCTGAAGATAGAGATAATATATTGCTCCGAAACGTTAGTAAACTTCGACAATACTATAAGGTGTCACATTACAGAAGATAGTACTATTTTTATAATAATGTAATATCATTGATTATTAACTTGTTCTGTTTGGACTGTCAATCAATAGATTTCATTGAGGCGAAATACACGAGAGATATTCTTAAGTCACGTGGTGACGAATTGATCCAGATGGCACCAGCGTACATAGAGGATGTCAACGTGGCAGAACGACGCTGTCGCCCTCTATGCGTCATCCACTCCTGCTGCTACAACATGACACAGGGTCAGCAGTACGAGGTGACGCATACTATCCGCAAAGTTTCACCCTTGCTTTATTGCTTTTGTTCGTATAATTTCAGTACAATAACAAGATAATATATGTGGGTGGGCATTAGATTTCATTTCTGAGCGTCCTTACGTCTGCTTACCCCACTGGAATTTTTATATACAATTTTAGGGTACAAACTACGAGATTTAACGGTCTGAAGTTTCAAACACAAGAAGCACCGTGTGTGAGAAATAAGAACTTTTTCATGAATTGGGGTAAGGGCAACGTAAATGGATACATGTGTCTGTCTAAGAACCATCTTAATATCATGTAGGATTTGAGGTTATCACAGCGGTGATTTTGAAGTGTTCTTATCTTTTGGGATACAACACCGTGTGCTCTTTTGAAACGGAGTAAAATGCATTATATCCTATAAAACAAAACTCTTCATGAAGAAAGCAGTCTTCTTGGATTTGGCACCCTGTATATGTGGTGTTAACCGACGTTTCGGAGGAACGTATCGCCTCCATCTTCAGGGTAGAAGGAAAAATATAAGAAATCCGCAAGCGAAGAGACCGTGAGAACCGGTAAAAGCAGACTCGTCTCTTCACTTGCGGATTTATTATATTTTTCCTTCTACCCTGAAGATGGAGGCGATACGTTCCTCCGAAACGTCGGTTAACACCACATATAAACGGTGCCAAATCCCAGAAGACTGCTTTCTTCATAGTCACCGCCGTGAAAGCCTCAAATCTTAGAAAAACTCTTCATCTTAGCATTATCTTCCTGTCTATGTCTTGATCTTGCCAGTGGTCTCTTTCCTCCTCTATACGTGCTACATGCCCTGCATATATGATCATTCTTAATCTGGTCATTTTAATTACGTTTGGAAAACAGTACAAGTTCTGAAGTTCCTCATTACGCAGTTTTCTCTGATCTCCTACCACTAAATTCTTCGTGGGTTCAAATATTTTCATCAGTCTATGTTTCTCCCTTAATGTCAGAGCCCAATTTTCACACCAATACAAAACCGTAGGAAAACGTTATAGTTCTAGCGCTTACGAATGCGTTTTATTGACACAGGCGAATATCAAGTGGCTGATGTTTCTAGAATCAAGCGTGCCGCTTGACGAATTATTTATGGATCTCCACATCCCATTCGACTGCGAGTTTCTGGTTGCCCAGCAGTCAGGGGATGTATCCCTGACTGAAATGTACCGCGTCCACCGTTACCAGTCCCTTCAGACGTACCGCGTTTCGAACTGGAGTTCCGGGGGTGGCTTCGTCTGGACTGATACCCCTTTCGTCAAGCGAAGAGGAGACTTGAAAGGCCTACGAACCAGAGGATCAGTATACCCGCAGGTAACATGTGTTTATTTAACAGCACTGTCAGTAACTCAGACTATGACGTGTCGAATAATTAAACAAAAGGATAAAGTTATCCATGTGGCTAACTAATTAAGCATCACACCATTAAGACGTATGGAGAATGGAGGTATAACTCCACCATTCTTGACCTTGGCAGTGTATGGCGGTAAGAGGTCAGCTTCACACGTACCGCCGTTTTAACCCCCTGGAAGGAGCCGATACTTCTCATCGAACAGGACGGTAAGTGGACCCCAGAGCCTACCTGGAGGCTCTAAAAAAAAAGAAAATTTCTTGTCCCTGCCGGGACTCGAATCTCGACCTTCTAGCCCGTAATCGGTAACTATACCGACTCAGCTGACCCGGTTTCCCTAATTGAAAGGTAGAGAATGATTACATGGGAAAGGATGTGAAAGGAAACGGTAGGTCCTTCATTTAAAGTACTATACCCGTATTGCACGCTGTAGCGTAGTTGGTTGAAGCATGATGTTACAAGCCAGAAGGTCGCTGGTTTGAGTCCCGATGAGACTATCGGATTTATCAATTGACATAATCCTTCCAGCCGCACTATGGCCCTAGGGTCGACTCAGCCTCTAACAGAAATGAGTACCAGGAATCTTTCCGGAGGGTAAAGGGCGGCCGGTGCGTAAGGCTGAAAACCCCACCGCCATCTGTGAGCCGATTGTCTAGAAAATGTGGGAGCCTCAACGTTTCATAAACCTATGGGCCTCCACGACCTTGTACAGGGACAGCTTTATCTTTTATTATCCCTGCAGTTGCCTGGAGGAGCTGAGGAAAAACTACAGAAAACTTCTCTCTCCATAGTAGCAGTCGCGGCCTAACCGAGACGTTTGTAGACTAAAATTCAGAAGCATCGTTGCTTGAAGTAACTCGCTCGGTGCACACATGAATTAAAACTCCTGACATATTAACATATTTCGTATTAATTCATGTTATGACGTCACACAGGCACCATTCATATACTGTGAAGACGACTGCGCACGTAATCACAGCGGTTTTGTGGTGCAGCTATGGAGACAATTTGAATATCGGATGAACTTCACGTGAGTATACATAGATCATACATACACAACTAAAGGTTCGTCTGAAACGTCTTTAAGCACGCGTCGTCGTTAAATAGTGCCGTTCGTCTTACTCCATAATTAGAAATTTACTATAATCTTTGTCTCTCTTTCTTTTCATAACTTCCATCCTATTCCCGCGGTAGGAAGCCAGCGACTAATTGCCTGAGCTATGCCGCGGCCTAAGCTCCTCATTAGTATTGCTTACTTACTCATGGAGCTGAGCCATTCTTGAGGAGCCGCCAATTCTGCAGCTACTCAAGAATTTCCCAGTATTTTATGGAACATGAAGGTTCATTCCCGTGTTCACAAGAGCTCTCCACTGGTCCATATCCTAAGCCGGATCAATCCAATCCACAGCATCTCATCCTCTCTCTAAGATCCATTTTAATATTGTCAACCCACCTATGCCTTGGTCTTCCCAGTGGTTTCCTTCCTTCTGGCTTTCCCACCAATATCCTTTATGCATTCCTTTCTCCCCCATTCGTGTTACATGCCCCGCCCACCTCATAATCCTTGACTTGATCATTCTGATCATACTTGAAGAAGAGTACAAGTTATGAAGCTCCTCATTATGCAGTTTTCTCCAACCTCCTGTCACTTCATCTCTCTTCGGTCAAATATTCTCCTCAACACCCTCAGTCTATGTTCCTCCCTTAATGTCAGAGACCAAGTTTCACACCCATACAGAACCACAGGCAAAATTATAATTTTGTATATTCTAATACTTATGTTTTTGGACAGCAGACGAGAAGACAAAAGGTTCTGGACTGAATGGTAGCAAGTATTACCCGAGTTCAATCTCCTCTTAATTTCTTCCTGCATCAGGTTTCGATTTCGTATCATTGTTCCCAAATATCTGAACTGTGCCACATTTTCAAAACATCTGTTTCCTATCTTTACGTCATATTATTATTATTATTATTATTATTATTATTATTATAAGCCTGCGTAAGTATTTAAGCAATTTTCGAGAAAGACATCGAGTGAAATGTCTCGTATGCGTTTCAGGACTCGTTACGAAGAACCGTCCCACGGATCTTACGGTGCCAGAGATTCAAACGGAAGGTGGGATGGCGTCATTGGCAGCGTTGCGGCTAACGAAGCTGACGTAGGGCTCAATGTTCTAGATTTTGGCACTGAGCGCCTCGACGATGTCGACTTTTTCCCACCTCTGTGGAATCTGAAGTAAGATTTCCTTTCACATCATGGATGAATGTCACAAAATGTTCTCTATAATAAGAATAAATACTTCCGTAATTTTTGGGCAACAGGATGACAAATATTTATATATTTTATTACCATAGAAATCATAACGGGATAGCTCAGTCGTATAACGAATAAATAGTACTATTTCCTGCGGTATAACGGCGTGTAGTCCGTTGAAAGTCCACCGACGTTTCGGAGAAACATATCGTCTTCTTCTTCAGGGTCAAATAATCCGAAACAAGACACCAGCTTGAAAGCAGGTGACAAGCCATGAAGGCGGTACTTTTCTCCGAAACGTCGCTTGACTTTCAACGGACTATACGGCAGTAGAGTGAGATCCTCAGGTCCTAAATAGATTATGAATTGGAGGACCCATAGATTGAGGTTCAATTCCAGACAGGGGCAAGCCGAACTCTTGGGCCCACCCAGACTCCTATGCAATGGGCACTAGGGGTAATACGACCGAAGCGTGAGTCTGATCACTCTCCTCCATTACCTGTCGTGGTTAAGGTTACCTCCAATCCCCATACGTTTTCAGGGTAATTAATTAACCACAAGGATAGCTTTACCTCACTTTAATGTCTCAACAATATAAAGTGACTGAAGACACCGATTCCCAAACTGTCACAGTTCTGACTTGCAGACTACACTGACTGAGGTTTCTGGTGGTTTTCCTTAGGCCTTCCAGGGAATTTCTGGGATAGTACCATAAACTAGGCAGCGACCGGTCCCTTCCCAATTCTTGATTAATCCCATCACTCTACACTGCAGAATATTGATACAGACCAGAGTACACAGGCTTTTCAGAATGTGGTCTTCTCGGTTGTGACACCGTGCAGTCTTGTAGATGTTTCCTCAGTGCACTGTTTCCCGAAATCTATATAATGGCGTGAGAGCCTAACAAAGATTTCATTGAACTCGCCTTCTTGACAATGTGGATGTAAAACCAAAAGATTTTTTTTTTTTTTTAAATCTACAAGCCGGAAAGTCGCAGGTTCGATTTCCGATGAGGTCACTGGATTATTCAATTTACCTAATCCTTCCAGCCGCACTATGGCCCTGGGGACGACTCAGCCTCTAACAGAAACGAGTACCAGGGACCAGGAATCTTCCTGGGGAGTAAAGCGCGGCCGGCGCGTAAGGATGACAACCTTACCGCCATTTGTGAGTCGACTATCTACATAATGTGGGAGCCTCGACGTCTCACAACCCTATGGGCCTTCACGGCCTGTTACAGGGATAGCTTTGCCTTTTTTTTTTTACAAATGCACTGAAGTAAACAAATTATTTATGACACTTCGACAATTATAATAAATTCTTCGTATTTTATCATACCTACCAGTCCTCCCCCCACCATCGGGGGCATGCAAAACGCTTTAATTTAACGAGTGACTAAAGGGTTTACGATAAAGTTTCTCATGAGATAGTAATGCTACACTAGATAGCCAAATTTGCATGGATAATTGCATAGCTTTCACATCGCAAACTAACCAAAACAATTTGCTTCTCTTAACAGAAAAATGTTGTACATAAAGGATCCTGGCTTCAAGTCGCCTTCTACAAGACTGTTACTCCCGTTTGCTCCGTGGGCGTGGAGAGCAATACTTGCAGCATTCTTGACATTCGTAACCCTGCTCACAGTAACATGGCATCTCTCAGGCACAAACCGAACACCACAGAAAGAAGAGAAATATAACCTCTACAATTCTGTATTCCACGTCGCTGGCATCTTCTGCATGCAGAGTAAGTAATACTTCAGCTCCCAGGAGCCAATAAGGCTGAACGGTCCTATACCTGACCGCCGCTAAGTTCAAGCCTCTTGTACTTTTTATACCACGCTTCTCCTCGTCCAATAACGCGTACCACATTATCGACTGTTATGCCCCAAAGGTTATGTACAAGTAGATATGTTTTTTGGGGGGTAAATTTGGGAATAAGTGTACCTAGACTTTAAGATTAAGAAATAGCAATAACGAAATGTAGCAGTAGTGAGGCAATTGTTTTGTAATCAGCATGTTAGCACGACAGTGTAATAACGCTGACATTGAGGAAGAGGCTATATGAAGTGGGACATGGAGATCTAGGACATTAAGACATCGCTGAGTCGGAGAGGGCGGTAGACCTGAAAGAGACAACGCCCTTTCGATAAACAGCCAATGAATGAGCCACACCGACCCAAAATCACGTCAGGATGGGCGGGTGAATACACCCCCGGAACCCAGCGAGTCAGCAAAAAGAGAGTACAAAAACGCTGGAGGGATCAATCAGAGAAAATTACTATTATTAACTGTCAAAGAGTTCAACCGGAGGCTCTATTCGACATGGGTCTTACAAGTGGTGGTGTCTAGCCTGCGTCTCTATTCAAGTAAGTCATGTTTGCTCATATAAGCCATGCTGTTAAACTTTATTGTTGTAGGTAAATGGTTGTTTGCTAAAATGTGGAAAAGCTATTTCCAGTGTGCCCTGCGAGCCCTTAGGGTAGAATAATAGAAATAATGTAACAGGTAATTGTCTAGGATGCTAGTCCGGCAATATGGCCGTCGTTATAGCGTATGTGTTATGAGTTACTAGTAATATGCGGAGGACGCATATTTGTTTTTCATAGTCGGACAGTTGAAGTTGTGAGAAACATACTTAGTCTTTTAGTATGTTAAAGTTTAGAAAGGACATATTTTAAGGGTGAAACATTATGATAAGATAGTGTAGAATTGAGTAGTAGGGAATGGAGAGTGAAAAGGGGTTCACACTTGCATATTCTCATGAGTCGAAATAGGAGAAAGAGAGAGACGGGCCCAGAGTCTTACACCCCAGGAGGGGAGATTATGATGAAACGGTAGCCTGACGACGTATAGAGATGATGTAGTCCCGGCTGAAATTCGGCCTTGTTAATATTGTAAATAGTGTAAATAGACAAGTGTAAATAGGATAGGTTGTACAGAGAGTTATAATTCACCCTCACAAACTCAACCTTCCCCCGACCGATCCCGAGGATCCTAGCCCAAACGAAAGGCAGAACAGCCCCCCAGGCAGGCAACGGCACCCGAATGCAACGACAGTTAAGGGTGAGGGACTAGAAGTGAACAGGGATAGTAGGCTCGCCTGCCACGCAGGCAGCGCTTAGTAGCCTTTTTATCAACTTCCGCCTTACGTCAAGAATAAGTGGTAGCAGTGGCGGATACCTCCACGCCCCCTGTCACCACGGAAGAACATCGACACTACATGAAATGGATACTAGGTGATGACACGTGGTATTATCAAGTTATTGAGATAGACGGCTTTTGGATTGATTATTGGATTTACTTGACGTTCTACAGCTCGTGACTAGACTTTACAGATCACTATTACACATTTAGTAGCGTCCTCAGTCACGTTGCTTGGTACTGGCTTTCAATTGTGGAAGTTTCTCTACTTTCAAGCGTACGTCCTTGCAGGCTGGCCAACCTCATACTCTGACTAATGGCTTCAGCTAAACGGTCGGTTAAAATATAACACCGAGTAGTCCGTTGAATGTCAACCGATATTTCGGAGGAATGTGTAGCTTATATCTTCAGGGCGGAAGAATAAGCCAAGCAAGAAACCAGCATGAAGCAGGCAGCAAATGAAAAAGCGATGTTATGTCCAAGAAGGCAAAACTCTTCATTATAGGCTATGATTAATTTATGAACACAGCCAGTAATATTTATACTATTAATTTATATCCACAGGTAACTACACAACACCCAAGATTCACTCTTGTCGCATGGTTAATTTGACGGCTTATTTCACCGCTACTCTTTTGTTCCTTGCGTATTGTGATTCGTTCATCACTCATCTCACTGTCAGAAGATTCGATCTCCCGTTCACAGATTTCAAAGGTGTACTAGAAGATGGATCATACCAAGTTGGTACAACACAAGCCGCCATCACTGCAAGTTACTTCAAGGTACACGAAAATATAGTCTGTGTTTTCAGCCTGGCCTCTGTGTTGCGCGTGAGAAGTAAGGAAAGAAGTAGTGGGGGTAGTGATTGCATCTGCATTGAGGGACGGAGGGCAACTGAAGCGACTGAAGCACTGTATCCAAGCCCCTGTTATAACCTACCTACACACGCATGCGCGTACAAAAGTGCAACTGCGCATATCCAGTGCGCAGTACGTGGCCGCCATAAGTACAAGTTACTTCAAGGTACACGAAACTATAGTCTGTATTTTTAGCCTGGCCTCTGTGCCGCGCGTGAGAAGTAAGGAAAGAAGTAGTGGGGCAGTGTTTGCAGCTGCATTGAGGGACGAAGGGAAAATGAAGCCACTGAAGCACTGTATCCAAGCCCCTGTTATAACCTACCTACACACGCATGCGCGTACAACAGTGCAACTGAGCATATCCACTGCGCAGTACGTGGGCCAGATCTGAAGACACGGACAGTACTTAAATATGATAATATTTAATTATAGTTTTTAATTATGCTATTCCTGACTCAGATTATACAGAGTCGAATAACTGGATGAGGGTGAATAGTGAACTATAAATGAGGCGGAAGGAAGTGATCGTGGCCTAATATAAGGTGTATCCCGGCATTTGCCTGTCATTCTCTTCTTCTGGGATGTGATATTGTGTACTCTGGTATAGAGAGGTACCAGATTTTCGGCGGAATCTACTGTCTCCAAAAGTAACAAGAGCTTCTGGGAAGGACTAATCACCTACTTTCCTTTCACCACATACTATCTGAATTGACACGGACCTCAGAGAAAACACCACGTCCAACAGTTCTTATATTGTTACGTATTGTCTATGTGTCTGCTCCTCATTTCTAAAAATGAAGAACCATGTGAGATCATCTTGCTGTCTCTGTGTCTGTGTATCCACCTAGTTATTTCGTTTCCTATGCAGTCTGTGTCATATCAAAGGGAAGAAGGCGATTAGTTCTTCCCAGAACCTCTTGATTCAAAGCAAAGTCTTCTAATATATATATATATATATATATATACGTTCAGCTTATTTGTAAAAACATGAAATTTCTCTCTTTATTTACATATTTTGAGGATATGTAAAACGTGAAGTTATTCGTTTTTCGTTTCAGACCTCGAAAGATCCCGTGCTGAAAGAGATTTATTGGAAATTAATTTATCCAGGGAGAAAAAATGCTCCCGGAATCGTAAGAACGGGTCTGGAGATGATATGCACCGAACGGCGATACGCATTCGTTGCTTCAGAAAAGATCTACCTGAATCTTAAGCGAGAACTGCCCTGCGAAGTTGTGGGGATTCCCAGAGCTTATTATTCGAAAGCAGTATCACTAATAATGCGAAGGGGAAGTCCCTTCAAATGGCTTTTCAGTCACCAGTAAGTACAGGAACTAGAGGGCTGGCTGGCTAACGAACCAATCAAACTAATGAACCCTAACAAACCAACCAATTACACATTTTCCGGCTAACTTCCCTTAGAAAAGAAGTTCTGGCTGATTCGACTCGTGTGCATTCTTTGAATCCCTGAGTACAGCATGCCTAGATCCATCCATCCACCAATCCATACATGCATACTCATGGAGCTGAGCCCTTCTTGAGGAGCCTCCAATTATGCAGCTACTCACGAATTTCCCAGCATTTTATGGAACCCGAAGATTCATTACCGTGTTTAGAAGAGCCCTCTACTGGTCCCTATCCTGAGCCAGATAAATCCAATCCATCCCATCATATCTCTCTGAGATCCATTTTAATACTGTCCACTCACCTACGCCTTGATCTTCCCAATGGTCTATTTCCTTCTGGCTTTCCCACAAATATCCTACATGAATTCCTCTTCTCCCTCATTTGTGCTACATGCCCTGCCCACCTCATCCGCCTAGATTAATACTTTGACAAAACTGATGTAAATACTTCGTAACTAACTTCTCACTCTGATTTTCAATAACTAAATGTTTTGTTCCAGTATGCTGGAGCTTAAACAGACTGGAATAATACAACGCATTGCGGATAAAACCTGGCGACCACACACCAGAGAGATTCTGCTGGAACCACCCCCTAGCGTCACTTTGGAAATGGTGATGATCATCCACGTTCTGTTTGTGCTGGGAATTCTCTTATCTATCGTGATTCTTTTCGTCGAGTACGTCACTTGTAAAAGAGGGTGACATAGACATAGGTCAACACAGTGGCATATACCCTTTCGCTGGTAAGTACGACAAATGTAAGGGCGGGAGGCGGTAAGAGACAAAATTAAAAGCCAATCTTACTCATCTTCTAAAATATGCAATGAAAAATGCACGTCTATGATGGCATGGAAACGAAGACCTATACAGAATGCATGAAATCGTGGAAGAAAACTTACAGAAAGGCCCAGAATAATCTAGAAGACATCTGACAGTTACTTCCCGAAAGTTTTGCAAGACATTATCTTAATGATCTTGGCCATCCTCTTAGTATTCGTGATTTTAATCTATAAAATCATTTCGTTAATAACTTTTGGGCATGTCTGTGCTTTATACTGTACAGCGGAATTGTTCATAAAACACAAGAATTTGACGCTGAAAATTATGGAATAACAGGACGTAAATATGCAGACTTATTTTTATATTACTTTAACAAATACATGCGTCTACTTTTGCCATAAATTTGTAAAATCATCCCAACATTTCAATAGCAATACTTGGGACTTCCCGAACTCAATGATATCAGTCACACTGAAAACTCCGTATTCGACGTCGCGATGTGGAATGTGAAGAATAATTCGGAGTAATTAACTTACACCTAACAGGTTCCCCAAGAGGCTTTACCATAAAACACGACTTTACATGAAGACTATTTACTTTAGGGTTAAAATGAGTTTAGATCGGGTTCAGTGAATTGTATTACATCTTATTTTAACTAACGATGCCGCCCACAATCCGGTACAAGTTTTGTGAGAGACTCGTGGAAAAGACCGTGAGGATATTCCGCAACGCGATGAGCGTAATGGTATGAGAACGTATGATTTGAACGTAGAGAATCCTTTCCACCCAAAAAAACTGCAGCTACAATCTGGGGCAAGCATATAAACCAATAATTCGGGGCTGGAATATATCTACATCAAATAATATGCAATAACGTTAATAAAACTTAGCTTAGTGAATCGTTAGTGTTCAACGTCTGCCACTCCCCGGATCACATTTGCCTTTTATTATAGACAGTGTCGCGTAACTTCGTACAAGGCCCGCGTTCGTAGTTAAATCCCGCGCATAGCTTGTGGTGGGAAGAGTTTCTTAACACTCGTTCTTCCACTGGTCGCCTGTCACTTCTCAGACCCTCCCTTCACCCTCTTGTCTGAAATTCTTCTTCTGCGCATTCGAAGTTACTCTTGGCCTTGTTCGAAGTTACGTGACACTAGCTATATCTCGTTTGGTAGACCTTTTCTGATATTGTAGGAGAAAAATTATATTCGCAGAAAACAAACAATGAAGAAGAAATGTTCCGATAATCGTAACTTTCCATTTGTTCCCAGGTTCCGTTACAAATTTCTTATGTACAGAAATAAATGCTGACTTGTTATCACAGACAACATGAATTTACATTTTTGGATATACTGATCGAGCACATTATGATCAAGTAGGCGTAAATGTTTGTGTTGCTGTAGAATATTTTAATTAGGAACTGAGTTCTGAATTAACTGGCATATTATAACTCGTGTGTGGTATTCTGCACTACCTTATCTATGTAGAACATGATAGCATAGTTCTTACCAAATAAAATGCAGGGGCTGCTTACCAGTGTTAGAGGTTATGTGCGGCAAGTCAGGAACATTTATTAAAATCAGAGCGTGAGGTACGGGAATCCCTACTTTGTTCTACTGGTTAAACACGTCTCCTTTTTCGGCCAGTAAAGCAAAAACGGCGAGGGCCAAACAAATTTTTTGTTTCAGTAAACGTGTGTGAATAAGTTCGTATTTAAAGCAGGTTTATGCATGGGATACCCGAGGTAAATTTTTAAACTATAAAACCTATGTATATATAACTACTCTGTGTAACCAAACTAGGCTACTCCAAAAACCGTCCAGAAATAACTGAATTAAGGATAAGCAAGTCTTTTTTCTGTTATAAATATAAAGGTCTAGGTTCAAATCCATGATAATTCATATAGTTTTTTTGGTGGATAAAGTGACACTGGGGAAGATTATCTTCAAGCACTTCTGTTGCATGCTCATATGATAAGGATTTGGTTCAGTACCAAGGGACACAGTTTCACTTCCACTTTTACCGTTAACGGAAGACAAATGAATGTAGCCAAAACTGAGTTTCTGACTACTTGGTTTAATATCCTGAAGATTCTCCAGCCAAGAAATATATTATGAAAACAGGGTGAAGATATTCATGGATTAGCTTTCTCAGTGCATTAATCCTGATTTTATGCAGATATTATTAATAAAGTTTAATAGAACAGAATGCAAGAATTAGTTCTGTCCCAGAAGACAAGTCTCCTAATACTAAAATTTTGAGTACGCAAATTTAATAATCTGTTTCTGATAATTTACTATATTTGCTTTTGAAGTTATTTGTAATACAGAATATGGTGCAATGCTTGAGTGTTATTTTAACATTTACATCCATCTTATTTTTCAGGTCAAATTGAATGGGTGTTCCACATTCCAATGCAGACCTCAGTGAATTGACTGAATGGTTCAAGATGTACTGATCATGTGTCAGCTGACAGTTTTGATCTGGAAATGAAGTGGACATAATAAATGAATACAAAGGAACTGGTTTTAAGTCATTTGAGTGTTATTGTGGTAGCTTTATTTCCACCTGTCAAATTGTTCTTGGTGCTGGACTGCTGCTGCCATATACACATGTGGGTGAATAAAAGTAAAATATATTAGGAAAGTGCAACAAGAATTTTGGAAATATTCATTCATTCTCAGGTTACATTCCACAAATGTCATATATACAAAATGTGTATGAATAATTCAGAAGCATTAGCCCTTGTCCATCAAAATGGCGATCAAACGTTAGAAAAGTTGTTTATTTGTGATGTATGTGGGAGACATTTTACACAAGCTGCTGATGTTATACGTCACACTCGTGTACATACTGGAGAAAGACCATATACCTGCAATATATGTGCCAAAGGATTTTCCCAGTCAGGTGACTTAACTCGTCACACGCGTACACATACTGGAGAGAAGCCATTTTCATGTAATGTTTGTGCCAAGAGGTTCACCCAGTCTGGAAGCCTAGTTCGTCATTTGCGTGTCCACACAGGAGAGAAACCCTTCTCATGTGCTGTATGTATGAGAAGTTTTTCCCAGTCCGGTGATTCAATTCGACACATTCGAGTGCATAAAAGCTACAGTCCTGTTTCTCCACTGGCAGATAAAAACGTGCCACAAATAAATGTTAGAAATGAAACACCACTGCCCAGTAGTGAACAGAAGCTTGTATTTTCTAACGTTTTAAGTATAGCTTTCTCACATGCAACACATGTACCACATAATCCTTTGTCTACATACACTTGTTTACCAGAAAATGCACCAAATGAGTTGGGAATCCAAAAGAATTTTAGTGGCATAGACAAAAATTCAAGCAAGAGATGCTAGTTAAGAATACTGCATGAATACTCAGATCATTCAAAATAAGATTACAGGATTTTCTGTTGCTTTCATCAGCCAGTTCATGAAGAAAAGAACTTAATACTCTGAAATACTGTATATACATTACCAATACATATATTTATATTTCATTTTTTCCTTAAATATTGCAAGCTTGTTCTATACCCGTGTTTCCCATCATGCAACCTTCCTGATCCCCAACCAAAAAATTACTAACTGGACCTCAAACCAAAAACAAGAAGTGAACACTGAATATAGCAGTTCTTGTACAGTATACGCAAAATAAAGCAAAGTCAACTTATTTTTTAGCACAACTGTGAGTACTGATTGAAAGAGTATTGGACATAATATCAAATCTTGCATTGGGTGCAAAATAAAATATTTCACCGTTATTTTCTTTACAACAATGTGGCAAAGCAGAAACTCTTTTTACAAGTCAATACAGATCCTCCTCCTCCTCTGTGGCCTTTAGTCCACAAGTGAACCATACCGACTGAGCGACCACCACTTGTTGGCGAAGTTAGTGTCAACTTGTGTGGATAGATGGTGTCGCGTGGACAGCGCTTTGGATTCCCACAGCCGTTAATCTCAGTTTTCTAGACCTGCAATACAGTTGCTGATCTAGAGATGTATGCAAAACAAAAGACTTATATGCTTCTGACAAGAATACAACGCAATTGTGGTACAAGAATAATGTAAGTCCTTAAGAAACTGAGAAAATTCAGATACATTGTGATTGCGGTAAAAAAATAAATGAAGTTCATAACAAATGTAAAGGATGTGTTATAATTTCAAAAATGCGTACTGTCATTCATTTCAGCATGGTCTTGTTTTCGGTATAGAGCCCTAATATTTTAAGGATATAAAAGTGTAATTAGATATTTTTACTTTCAAGTACTCTACTTCGTATCTCACGGTGAAAGAAGGACATAGTTTGAAGGTGTAAGAGAATGGAGTGCCAACGATACTGCTTCACCAAAAGCAAAATGAAAACTCAGATGGGGGAGAATTTCATAATACAGTGTTTCACACTTTTCTCTCCTGACCTGGTCTGATGCAGAATTCTGAAAGATATTAATCCTTTAGACATTTTAGTAGGACTCAACCCGTTTCAAGGCCTCCTGTCTACACAAAGGTTCAGAAAATATACATTAAAGTTCATCAAACCTTTCAGTAAAGTGACCATTAAAATTAACATACTAAAGCAAATTCAAATGGGATCATCAAAATCTAATGTGTCTGTTACACAGTAATATTCACTAAAGTTTTTTAAAAAAATGTCAGACCACTCAAAAAAAGAGAAACCGGGTCACTTATGATCTTAAGTAAAGCAGCTCTTAACTAAACCAAACCAAATGAAGAAAAATAGATACAATTTAGTGTACATATGTCATACCAAATTTTAATAAAATCTGACGAACAACAGTACACAGGACGCAATTATTACTGGATGGATGGACATGACAGTTTTTTTAAAGTTTGTCTGATTTGTTCTGTCTCTGTAGAGCAATATAATTGTGAAAATAGGCATACTTAATTATATAAATTGAATGTGATAGTTATACATTATGGGTAACTTCACACCGGCTGGAAAATTTAGAAAGTGCAGTTGCCAGAATCAACCAGAGCAGGCTATAAAAACCCAGTGGTCAGTCAACCTGAAATTAGTATAGATTTAAATTTGGTTTGCGCCAGTTTCGATATAGTTGAAGAATTTCAAGTCATTATGGTTATTTGTCAATGTCAATGTCACGAACACTGAAGACTTGTGAATGAACAGATAGTAGTTTTCAAAACGGTATTTTAGTATTAAACTTCTATAAGACTTGTGTACCAAATGCTGCTTTGTCAGGAAAAAATATATATTTACAGTATTTTCTACTGGTTCACACATGTTAGTGACGCCACTCATTAAAATGGAACACACAATTAAAGCAGTCAACAAAATAAAACATTTTAAAACCTTTAAAATAGTATTACATTCAAGACTATTAACAACACATCTATCAAAGAAAAAAAGGTCAATGGAGATCAGATATTTATTCAGTAATACTGGTTGCATTATAATGAAAATCTGTGAAAATATGAGTCTTGAGAAGTTATTTCACCACAAATAAATAACATTCATACACAAATCTAATAGAACTATTTTTATAAATTCTGTTCTCTATAAAAATTAGTATTCTTACAATAAAACCTGATCTATGGTACCATAATTACCTTCATGCTTGAAAGTATTAGGCCTATGTGGCATATTACATTCATTACAAAATTGCTTTATATACATCTATTTTAGGCTTTCCACAACATCTTCAACTACAAGTACACATTTTATGTTTTTTAAGAATTCTAGCAGAGCTCACTCATTCCTTCAACAAGTTCTTTTCAACTTCTGAAGAACTGAAGAAAATCTATTAGTGGCACAGACTGATAAAACCGACAGCCTAACAGCTGAAAGCAGATACTCTTAGCACCTGTAATGGAAATATTTCATATTCACTCACACATGAATTTCGAAAAAGGTGTACATTTTAAGTGGACAGTGCCCTTATGTTTGAACACATCGAACATCATTGCCATCTCCGTGGCCTGTAGTCCGCAAGCGAACTATACCGGCCGAGCGACCACCACTTGTCAGCGAAGTTAGTGCCAACTTTAGCGGATAGAGGGTGTCACATGGTAAGTGCAACAGTTCCCCAAGGCCGTTAATCTCGGTTTTCTAGACCGGAGCCGCTATTTCCTTGAAATGGCTCCTCAATTATCCTCACGAGGCTGAGTGGACTCCGTTCCAGAACGACTACTTCTCAGAAAATCTGGTAGCGCCAGGAATTGAACCCAAGACCTCTGGATCTGTAGCCAGAAACTCTGACCACTAGACCACAGAGGCGGTCCATTCATTACTGCCATTGTTGTTCCAAACACAAGACTACTCTTTTCTGAGACATAAGGCTGTGTAGTTTGCTTGCTACCTACTTGATGCTTGTTTCACTCTTCATCCCTGACAACAGAGATAGTATGTGCCTCTAAAATGTGTGTGTACTTCACCAGAATACATGAAGTTATAGAGATTCCTCCCAAACATCAGCATACTGCCAGACTACACAGCATCACATCTCAAGAGGACGGTAGTCTTCAGACAACACCGGGACACCTCAAATCTTGCACACACAAAAAGGACTGATGTTTGGAAACCTACTCACACATATTTACTCTTTCTGAATGGGTAATAACCCCTTACACTCACTGTCATGTGCTCAATAAATTATATTAGTGCTAATGCAGAGCTTCTCCAAGTATAATTAGAATGATCAAGTCAAGGATGAGGTGGACAGGGCATGTAGAACGAGGAAAGCCAGAAGGAAAGAGACCACAGGGATGACCAAGGCGTAGGTCCGTGGACAATACTAAAATGAATCTTAGAGAGATAGGATGGAATGGTATGGATTGGATTGATATGGCTTGGGACAGGGACCAGTGGAGGACTCTTGTGAACATGGTAATAAACCTTTGGGTTCCACAAAATGCTGGGAAATTCTTGAGTAGCTGCAGAATTGGCAGCTCAAGAAGGGCTCAGCTCCATGAGTAAGTAAGTGCTAATGTTGAACATGTTTATGCGAATCAAGTGTTTACAGTATTTAGGACCTATTAAAGAGAAGTTTAATAGGTCATGTGATGTGAAAATTGGAAATTAAAGTTTGGGAGACTGAATTTGCAGATTTCTTAATTCCCAAAAACTGTAACTATGCCAGTTTTAAATTAAGAATAATAATCAGGTATGCAAAAGAAACAAACTACGTGTCTTCCAAGAAATACAGTACTTTTGAAATGAAAAGAGAAATGATTATTGCACATGAATTTTACCAGGAAAGCATTCACTGGTCATTTATGAACAGATGGAATGAAAGAAAGCTATGTTTGTGCCTGAAAATTTCATCTCAGAAAGTAATAAAATTATTTTTCTCTAAAACTTTCCACCATATAGGTATGTGTGTGCGTGTGCCTGTTTTTCTTTTTTTTTTTGGGGGGGGGATCTTGTAGCCTTTTTTTTAATTGCTAGTGGGGTGGGACTAAGCCCCTTGTACTGCAGCCACTTCTGGCCTATTGTACCAGCCCCAGATGATAGGTGAGGGTGATTTTGGAGCAATACTTGAAATGAAGATTGGCAGGAGAAACCAAAGTACTTGGAGAAAAACTGCCCCAGCACCACTTTGTCCACCACAAATCCCACTTGACCAGACCCGGGATCGAATCCAGGCCGCCACGGTGGGAAGTCAGAGACTAACTACTTGAGCTATGGCATGGCCCATCTTTTAGCTTAACACTTTGCGGACCGGCAATTTAAATATTTAAATCACCCTGCAGACCGGCATTTTTATACCTACTACCCTAACTTGTGCACTGTTCACTTTAAAAATTAATATAAAATCTCCTAATTAATTTTAGGAACTAAAATTTTTTGAGAACACTTACCAGTGCTTCTAGAAGTGCTTGAGTGTGTGATATTTCTCAAAGCATTCCCCTCTGTGAAGTGGCATTACACAAAACTTGCAAGTGTAGGCAGTCCTACTCTTTTCTTGTGAATTGCGCAAACACGGCATTGCCTAGAAGGCTGCTTCCCCTTGAAATGTTTACTCTTCACAATTTTTGCGAGGGCACGTTTCTGCATATCACCCGAGAGTCGCCCAGGGGGGTCAAAATGAGGCCTGCGGGGGGTGGGAGTAGACGGCCCCAGTCATACTAAAATTGTGTCTACCGCCACCGTGTGGTCTGTAGCCCAGGCTTTTGCCACACTCAGCAGAAATGCCGTGTATTTCAATTTTGAATGAGGGTTTAGATTTTTGAAAACCAAAAAATGAGTTGAAAATGGCACAATTTATAAGCCACAAGGCAACTTTCTTTGTCCACTTTACTGTTTTCCAAGGAAGAGAATAGGCCAAGTACTGATCGGCTCTATCAACTCCCTTCATGAACATATTATACTCGGAAATACAAAAAGGCTTCTTTACCTGACCATGTCTCCTTTGAACATCAACCATGCTCGAATTGTGAATTGTGGAAATCATATTCACAACAAGAGTATCCCTATCTCCAAAAAACAGTTCTGCTACTTCAAGACACTTGCGTTGGGTCCGATGGAATTTGCTTCACCCCTGGATTTCCAGTAAACTGTCCCAAAGCAGGCGTTTTGTCTACTTTCCCCCCATGTGGCTGTCCCCGCAATGTTGCTACCCGCACATTCGTCAGAGCTATGGTCACTTTCACTTTCTGTAGTCACAATTTTTTGTTCGCTCCTGCCACACTCACTATCAGATTGTGAGTTTCTATGACCAGCAGACTCACAAGGGACGTCAGATAGCTCATAGGAGAAGAAGTCAGATATTTCTTGTTCTCCAAGAAATCACTTGGGTGTCAACTGCTTTGGTCTTTGATCCATATTGAACTACTGACTGACAGCTTGCTACGTAAAGCTTGAAGAAATAAAGGCATTTATTTTCCTTTGCAGGGGCATAGAGTTACAGCGAGGTCTAGTAACTGATTGGTCAGCAGACATTCCAGAGCCTTATAACGCAGCTGCAAGCAGCTACGTGCTAGCTAGGTGGGGCCAGAGAGATGTATAGTGTGTTGCAACTTATCGTGTTTTAAAAGCCTGTTAACATGCGAACGATCCACCATGTTTAAAAGCGAAAAACCTTTTAAAGGGTGCGCGGTCCGCAAAGTGTTAATAAATATGGATTTAACTCGTGGGGAAAGAAAGGCTATTTAATGGGTTACAGGCAGACAGCAAAACAAAATCACACATATGCAGTCCATTAACTTTCTCAATGAACCAAATCTAGACTCTATGGCCTTTGCTACAGCACACTATTCAGTATTTATATTACATCTCCTTTGCTGATGTTGGTTCTGCTCTTGGGTCTCTGCAACATTTCAGAGGTATGTGCTGCCTCCATCTTCAGGGTGCATGTAGATCCACACAGAATGAAGAGCCACGAGAAGAACCAACATCAGCAACGAACCATCACGAAAGCCTACAACCAGTAATTACATTTCTTTTATCAAATTATTTCTACAAAGGAGATTAACATGGGTACATTCTTTTACTGAAACACTAAATCTAGTTGTGCTTACATTTCCCAGAGAGTTCAGTCTCATTCCAGTCCATTCTGTGAAGTACAGTACTCTGAAATGTGATACTCTATATCACACTGCTTGCTCCCTCCATGTTCAGTTTACACGTTAATCCTGAAGATGGAGGCAGTAAATTTCTCCAGAATTTCAGTAACTTCTACCAGACCATATTGCATCACATTCCTTAACACAGTACTCATCGTCACCACCACTGGAAACCTCAAATTTCAAATTGTTATGTTATCTACAGAAATAAAACTGGCGCCTCCTCCCCTTTCAGCATTTCTTGTTTGACACAGTCCAGGAACTTTTCGATAGAACCTCATATGTACTATCCCAATGCTTGGCTGAAGACAGGAAAATCATGAAAATTATAAGCTAGGAAACCAGTAACCTAGTTCAGACTTAAACTGGGTACCTTCGAAACACAGCTCTTACCACTACACCAAAAGGTCTTAAGTGAGTTTTTACATAGGTTATAGTCTATAGAAATAATTCCACAATATCTAGATAAGACAACACATTTCCTCTGCTGTATCTTAAAAGTTTGATTATAACCACAGCAATTGGGTCCTATTGTACAGAAAAAAATGTCCTTATATCATCCTTGACTTTTTTTTTTTGGAATATCCTTTCCAGAACTTTTTACATAATAAAACTAACACAGTACTAAATTTTAACACTTAAAATGGTTTTATAATCATGTGTGTCTTTTTATGCCTCTTTAACTGATTACTTCTAATGAACCTTTTACCACAGTCCTGACATGAGTATGGTTTTTCGCCTGTATGTAACCTCATGTGAATCTTAAGTTCAGTGCTTCGAAGAAAGGACTTCCCACACTCAGTGCAAGCAAATTGCTTCTCACCAGAATGCATCCTCATGTGTATCTTATGATCACAGCGGCGAACAAAACTCTTTCCACACTCTGTACACGAGAAGGGTTTTTCTCCCGTGTGTGTACGCATATGCTCATTGAGGTTACTGCTACGAAGAAACCGTTTTCCACAAACAGTACAGTTAAAAGGCTTGTCATCCATATGTGACCTCTCATGCAAGGTAAGGGTATTACGGAGCCCAAAGCTTTTACCGCATACCTGACAACAGAACGGTTTTTCACCCGTGTGTGTCCTCATATGACGTGTCAAAGTACTACTCTGACCAAAACTTTCTCCACACATTGTGCATGAAAATGGTTTTTCACCAGTATGTGTCCTTATGTGTAATGTAAGATTACCACTCTGACGAAATGTCTTGCCACACATTGAGCAACAGAAAGGTTTCTCTCCAGTGTGTGTCCTCAGATGCTTCAACAGACCACTTTTCTGAGCGAAAACATTACCGCACTCATTACAAACAAACCGCTCCTTCTCCTGAATCATTGGCAAAGCTTCAATCATATCATCATCATCTATCACGCCAAATCTATCAAGGACAGGGATGTCAAATATTTCCTCTGCCTTCACTTCTTCCTGTTTCACAACAGAAATATCGACACTTTGCCTCTTCTTCGGACCTCTCCGCTTCTTTGGAGCTCTACAATTTTGTGCAGGAGTATTTTTCTGTCTTCTTAAACCATCTTTCTTTTCAGCAGTTCCATTCACCTGAGCTGTGCCTTGTCTCCGTTTAATCAATTTCATTTCTTCTCCATTCTCAGCACAGTCTTTACCACAAACATGTGAACAACAGATCTGATGTATGCCTTCTTTACTGTCAGAAATGTCAGCTGAAGAAACCTCACAATTCAATTTGGCCTTATTGTGTGTTTTACCATGTTCTGATCCAATTTTTTGATCTGAAGATCCTGGTCCACATTTGTCTTGCAGATCCAAAGATTGTGCCAAAAAGTGTCTATCATGTGACCTATAAGAGAAAAAGAGTACATATGAGAGACAAGAAAGAATGTGATATAAAACTCTTACATTAGATTATTTTATAAACATTTCAACAAACGAAAAAGTTTTAAACAAAATGAAAAATTAATCCAACTTTTTCAATGTATGCAACACACTTTTATTGGAACAGATGTACACCACATCGTATACAGTCCAGCCCTGCCACTGTTCTTTCCGCAGCCAATCATCATGAGTGTACTGAGTCTGCTGTGTACCATGCAAGAAGAATCAGACATTTTCAAGCTTTATCTCAAATATATTTTGCTTTCTATCATGGCTTCCAAAGCACTAATCAATGCCTGTAGTCTGCAAGTGAACTATACCGACCGAGCGACTGCCGCTTGTCGGCAAAGTTAGTGCCAACTTTAGCGGATAGAGGATGTCATGTGGTCAGCTCAACGGATCCCCATGGCCGTTAATTTCGGTTTTCTAGATCGGAGCTGCTATTTCCTCCTCAATTATCCTCACAACGCTGAATGGACCCGTTCCAGATCCACTACTTCTCAGAAAATCTGGTAGTCCTGGGAATCAAACCCAGACCTCTGGATCTGTAGCCAGGAAGCATAAGCATAATACAGCCACACACAAACCATTTATATTTTACAAGCAGTAGTTTTCACTGATAATCTTACTACAGTAAACTATACCAAACATAACAAGATATAGTCTAACCTTGGCTCCTGGTTCTCAAAATCTTTTACGTCAATTTTCACATCAGAAAAGTCATCTCTACACTCATCATCACTCTCAATAGGAGATACAGAATACAACTTTTTGTCTTCTTCCTGCAAAAGACAAGGGCTATATTTATGGTACAAATTAATGAAACTAACCTGCATTATATATTCAGTCCTGTAGAAAAATTGTCAACTGCTTGAGATAGGCAAGTGCCCACTGCCAGTTGCAGTGTTAATCATATCACTAATATTAATTACCTGATATGAATCTGACTGAGGTTGCAAATCCCTGAGGTACTGATGCAGTGCTATATCTGAGCTCTCACACTGCAGTTTAAAATTATATGAGGAATTAACTTGCTGAATACACTGATGGCACACCTGTGCTGGCAAACTGTCTCCAGCAAACATCTACAGTAGAAGTCATGAGAACTATCAGATACATTATAAAATAATTGAAACATTTTGTGTAATTTCTGAACACAAAAATGATACAAAATATGACTTTAAACATCTCACTTAGTCTCTACTCCAACACAGATATCACAGCTTCAATTTACTTATTTATTTCTATGCATGTTAATATTGCTAGATTCTTCTAATCATCATCTATTTATGGTCTTCTAATTTGTGAACTGTCCCATCAAATGTGGCCAGAGTACAAAACTGTCTAGCAACCTAAAATTAGTGCCTAAGTTAAAACGATACAAGAGTTACCCCCAAGAATGTAATTGCCTTCATGATGTATTAAACAGACGTACAAATAACGTTACCTTTACCGATTCTGTAATTTATTCTATTAAAAGTTAAGTGTCAACTGGCCAGGAACTGCGTTTTTCTTCTTAGTGCATGTCAACCTGTAACTTGTTACCACTGGTCTTCTGTCTTCCACAAACTACTCCAGCCAAAATCTTAAAATCAGTTAAAAACAGTTAAAAGCTGCTTTTAAACTCTGAACTCAAAGTGTTTCAGTTAGGGAAATTGTTAAATAACGCAAGCTTATATTTAAATGACAAAATATAAAAATATTCTTAAAATATAAAAGGCAGTTCTTACAATAGCCTCTTCTATACAAAATATATCATGGTGATTTTTATTTAAAAACATACTCATATTAAGATCACGTCACATATAAGCCATATATAAATCGATAACGCGAAACAAGAATGCTCATCCGTAAACAAACTTTAATAACCTTAATCACAGGAGCGAATGTCATAATTCGTGCAGGCAGAGAATCATCATCTCCAAATAGAGGCAATAATCCATCCTTCTGTCCCAGACACAGACGACATATAGTGCTGAAATTTAACGGCATGTTGAATCCGTCATTTACATCGGTGAACTATATAAAACCCACATTACAAGCTATTTATTTTTAACAAATCGCCATTTACAGATCGTCACTGCCACTACGATTACCAGACCCATTCCCCTGAACGTAGTCAGACTACACCGACTACACTACTATGTTGGTAGAACTTTGCATAGTTCCACGGATTTCGTGTATACAGATGTGTAAATCAATGTTATCGGTTGCAATTGGCTGTGACGCCGTGTAGTTGGGTACATTTTTTACAGCTGTTGCTCCGAAATGTCAGCAAAGATCTTTTCAACGGTGTAAGCATTAAATTCCTTGGAAAAGTCGTTAAACGTCTACTAGAATAAATGGCGTCATATTCTAATAGAGGCCCACCCCATCATTCCTTCCCATCCCACTGCACTAGAACCTATACAAAACATGTTTTCCCCCCAAATCAGTTTAAAGTATAAATGATACAGGAACACACGGAAGCCTGCAGAGTATAATCTTCTGCATTATTTATGCCATGTACGTTGATAAAGTTCTGAGCAACATACTGGCTCCACCATCAGGTTCTGATACAAGCAAGAAGTGTGCAACAAGCATAGATCTGCTTGTTGCCAGCTTCTTGGTTAGCTTATTCCACAACCCTGAAAACAGGGATAATGTGTATCTCCAAAATGTCTGTGGACTTCTCCAAAATTACATGGTGCTGCAAATAGGGTCATAATCATCACAGTTACCATTATGTTAACTTCATGATAAACAGTTTCCATATGTAACAACTTCACATGGAAGGTAATCTATTGCACAATAGCCATAACAACCTACAGAATGTAATTATCTGAGGGTCATTTAAATGTCATAACAGAAGAAAACAATTCCTCAAATCAGAATACAATTCCCATACTTAAAAAACATCTAACAGTAGTCTGGATATTTCAGAATATCCCAAGAAAAGACAGTTACTTCTGAAATATATATAGTCATACTGTACATCATTCTGTCATGTTTTAGAAGATATAAAATGTAGATTGGAAAAAAGGGACTCCAAGTATCCAACAAGCTGTCTTGAATATTTAATGTAATCCCCATTAAGTAGGTTGGTCAATCAGATAAATTGTTGCAGGCGTCGCCAGCACAGCCATTCTTGGTTCCAAGTCCTGTGGGACTCATGACCATATTTTACTGTCTCATTACTCTGGGACTCAAGCAACAACCTCTAGTAAATAGGTAAAGTTAAAAGTTAAAGCTATCCCTGTAAGAGGCCATGTCAGATATTGAGGCTCTCACACTTTCCAGACAATTGGCTCACAGATGGCAGTGAGGTTGTTAGCCTTATGCGCCGATTGCCCTTTACCCACAGAAATATTCCTGGTACTCATTTCTGTCAGAGGGTGAGTCGACCCTAGGGCCATATTGCAGCTGGAAGGATTAGATCGGTTAAAAATCCAATGACCTCATTGGGAATCGAACCGTCGGCCTTCCGGCTTGTAGAATAGTGACTCAACCAATTACACTACTGCATGCCCCCTAGTTAGTAGGGCACATTATTTATATTTCATTTTGAACATTTTGAATATTACTGTTGCAGGTGTTAAGAGACCATGGACAAAAGGAGAAACTTATAATATATCATGTGCCCTTTGGTAATTCAAATTATTCCAATACTTGAGTTACCAGGTGAAACACAAAATAAGAATACACTATTTTTTTAAGAGGAAGTGTTTGTATAACCTACAGCCTTCTAATGTGCAATGGAATTCTTCAATTTGGTATGTTCAAGGATTTTTGGACATTTCTGTCAAAATTCCACTTTGAATGCTGTCTTGAAATGTTGCCAAGCTTGTGCCAATAATAAACTTAATCTGAACATTACTCTATGGATATACAGCACAAATTCTTATGATTAAGAGCTGTTAAATGTAATCCCAATCATAATGTGGAGCACAAAGTTAGATAATTCCAATTATCAAGCTGGAGAACAATTACTTGTCTGCTACATGCAGACAGGTTCAGATTATGTCTTCTCCATGCACAAGAAATACTGGGAATCCTTGACTGGACTCAGGCAAGCAAAGGGACTTATACGAGGACCCTCTGCTAAAAGAGCAAAGGAACTTTTGAAATTATACAGGAACCAGCTATGATGGGTGGTGGGACTACTTACAGGACACCTTAAAAGACACCTCTTCAAACTGGGACTAAAAAAAGTCCCACTTGTGAGAGGTGTCAAGAAGAAAATGAAACATCCACACATATCCTGTGTGAATGTGAGGCTTTAGCCTATTTTAAATAATGTATAACCTACCAATCTGACATGTGAGACAAAGAAGATTTAGAAAACACCTTACTCGGGAGATCAGTACAGCCCATACTAAAAGAAAATTATAAAACATGTTACAAGGAAAGTCAGTAGAGCCTGTACTCATTCATTATTTGTTTGTTCTTCATGGCAGCTTGAAAATGTGTGAAGCTCCTTTCTTGCATTTTGTTACATTATGCTGTGTAACCACAGTGAAACACAAGCCATGGAAGGGGGACACTAATTCCTGAAATTTCCAGAGCACATACCCGAAACGTAGGCCATAGAAAAGAGTTCAACACAATTGTTGAGATTTCTCTAAAAGATATTTATCAAAGATCCGTTCAATGTTCGGAGCTAGGTGACAGAATTATAGATAATGTCACCAAAAAATAACAAATTGGTATGGAATACTAATTCATAACTCTCTATTTTGCCACATCCTTCTTTCATTCATCAGGTAAGTATATTATACTAACTGGATGATGTTTCTAAGGAAAGGTGACCAGAACTTGCAACAGTTTTGCCCATCCTAATACCCGCACCCACCCCGCGGTACAATTACCCGACAAACGAAAGCACTAAGTGGCGAAATTCTGAAGATTGTGAAAAGCTGAAAGTTCTTTGTGTTGTATTTGGCTTCCAACAACATATCTTGAAAATCAGTTATGGCTGAGTGTCAAAATCACATTGACAAGCATGACGCTTTTCAGAAAATGAACATAGACAAAACCCTTAAAAGCAAAGTAACTATGGAACAGCATATCAGTGATTTTCTCATTCACTGATGAGCTGATCCTAAGTTATTTCAGCTAATCAGGGACATTGCCAGACAAGATGCAGCTCTTCCCCTTATCCGATCACCAGAAATGCAATCTACTGCAAAAAAGAACACAACATTCCTGAAAGAGAACAACCATTTTGGAATAGCTGCATCTTGCCTACCACAGCCTGGCACTTGTAGTTCCATACCAGCTAACTTGAATAAGTCAGATTATTTTACAAACAAGTTTGGGTACAAATTTGAAATATTTTCTAAACTACAGACTTGTATAGCTAGACCAGATTATTGCAGTGCACATTTTAGAAATCAGTTTCAAAATTTGAAAACACTACTTGAAGATCCATGTAGTGTACATGAGGAACATAATTCAATAAATAGATTTTCTGGGCTACAGTAGTGTTGCTGAAAATTACATCCCTTCTTAATAGATGGAGGCAGAATACATGCAGGGAAAGTCATTTATAATAGCAAGAATTGAATGGTTTACACACCTTTCAGAAATAGGCTATTCAAAGAACAAGTCAGTTCATACAGGAACAAAAATATTAAATTCCAAACTGAGATGTACATAAATATTTAAAACATTAAAATCATATGAAACAAACAAGTACTCATTTTCATGGAAGTCAAAGAGTATTATAACATGTGGGAATATCCTCAAAAGTAGCAGCTATACAAACTGGATATGAGAGGAACCTCAGAGTATTCTAGGGCACTAGCAGCAATACCTCAAAGTAGACATACATGCATTCTGCAACTTTCTCCATCCGTGACTGGTATGGTTTGGTACGCGGCCATGGTTCTGTGGTACCACAAAGAACTTGTAGCAATCTTACTATTTGAAGAGGTCCCCTGATGTCCTGCATTGCAGTAAGCAGCAGATGCTGATGATGGTGACAGTGCTGGATGCTTGGAGACTCTCATCAATGTCCACTGTCCCACGATGACTATTTGCTGTGCCTCACATTTTGTGAAGCCTGCCTGCAAAACAACTGGCAGCAATCAACTGTTCCACTTTAATTTCTTGTCTTGTGGCCTGCACTGACCATCTTCTAATTTCTCTCATGTTTATAAAGTTTTTGCTGATATTATGGCTAATTTGAGACTATTTTACCAATTGCCTTTATTTCTGTGGAACACTTATATGAGAATTATATAATATGCACAATTATATTCTTTTACTGCCATATCTAATGATCTCATTTAAATTAAATTCAATGTTTGAGATGTTATAGTATCTTGACATGCTTACGAGTACTGTTAATACTTGTTACAACACTGACTTCAAATTTTAAAATTTAAGGTCAGAAATATTTGGGATATTTTAAAAATATCAGGGCCTTGCAATGTGCCATGCAACATTATAGTATTCAATAAACTGTAGACCAGGAGGCAGATTTATTGTATTAAATTGTTATGGCCAGTGATTGTAATACCACAAGGTAAGAACCTTCAGATAGAAAAATATGTATTTAATGACGTTTCTCACTCACACTTGCAATACATGGAATTTTATTAAAAAATATATAAGAACCTAACTCAAGGTAATAAGGTCGTTTTAAATTCTTATTCATGAAACAATATGTTTACTATCTCTGAAATTAAGTAATGTTAGATTTTCATGGTATCTAAATTTTACTGAAAACATAGTACATACATAAAAGGTAAAGCTGTCCCCCTGCTTAACTAATTAAGCACTATGCTATGAAGGTGTAAGGGGAATGGATGTATAGATCCAGATTTTCTTAACCTTGGCACTAGCTGGAGGTGAGTGGTCAGCTTCACGCCACTTA